CGCTGGTGGGCATGCGCGGCTGCCCCAGGAGCGCCATCGCCATGCGCGCCTCCTCCAGGAGCGCCGCCAGCGTGTCCGCGCCTGTCTGGGCTGCCGCCACGCTCATGGGCGTGCGCGGCTGCCCACTGCGCCGCCCGCGCTCGCGCTGCCTCCCTCTCTAGCAGCTCGAGGTCCGTGTCGACGGTGTCGTCAGCGGAAATGGAGCTGCCGATGCTGTCGCGCAGAGCCTCGACCTCCACTGCCACCGCACGCGCTGCACTCGCCGCCGCCGCTGCTTCCTTCTCCGCTCTGGCTGCTGCCAGCCTCAATGCCTTTGCCGCCGCCGCAGTGGTCTCTGTCGCCGCTCGCTCGCGTTCCTCTACTGCGGCAAGTTCGGCCTCCTGCCGACGCCGCGTGCTCGAGGCGACCGAGCGCTGAGACTACCCTGCGGACATGACGCGCTACTGGGGGGCTGCTGAAAGGGTCGAGATGGCGACTAGAGGGGGGGTGAATAGTCTTTTCTAAAATTAATCGCGTCAGCTAACCGATATAAATGCGAATTAAAACAATCGGTCTAGCCAAGACTACACCCTCTATATATGTTCACTAGCACCTTGCAAAGATACTAATAAAGCAACTAAGGTGCCGGGCTAGCTAGAGCTCTCCTAAACAATTCTAGAAGCAAGGTCACACAAACCTATGCCACTAGTACTTTAAGTAACAAGGAGCTCCTACACATGCTAGTAAGCAAAAGCACAAAGCTAACTAAGCTCACTAGCAATGCTCAATAACAAGGCAACCAATGCCTAATTAGAGAGCGCAAATACTTAGCTACACAAACTAAGCAATGTGACTAACAAGGTTACTAAAACCAAATTAGCCACGCAAGGGAGCTACTTCTATGCTACACAAGCAAGAAGGTAATTAGCTAGCTACACAAGCTATCTAATTACAAGAGCAACTACAAGCTTAAGATATATATATAAGTAATTGCAAGCTTGTGTAATGGGGATGCAAACCAACGGGAAGAACAAGGTTGACACGATGATTTTTCTCCCGAGGTTCACGTGTTTGCCAACACGCTAGTCCCCGTTGTGTCGACCCCTCACTTGGTGGTTCGCTGACTAATTAGCATCACCCACTAAGCCCGGACGTCGGGACCGCAAGAACCTACCCCTTGAGTGAGGGTAGCTCAATGACACGCTTTACTAAAGTTGCTCTTCGTGACTCCATGAGGCGAGCACAAGTACCCCTCACAAGCACTTCTCCGGAGCGCCGCACAAGCTTCTTGCGCCTTCGACGGAGACCACCACCAAGCCATCTAGGAGGTGGCAACCTCCAAGAGTAACAAGCACCACCGGCTTGCAACACGACCACCTAGTGCCACTCGATGCAACCTCACGATGCAATCGCACTAGAATCGCTCACTCACACAATCGAATGATCACTATCAAGTATATGTGTGATGGAGGGCTCCCAAGCACTCACAAGCATGGACACTAAGTCCCTTGAGGTGCTCAGCTCCAGCCATGGCCGAGGGCCACTTCTATTTATAGCCCCAAGGGCTAAACTAGCTGTTACCCCTTCATCGAGCAACGGTCGGGCCGACCGGACCTTTCTCGGTCGTGTTGACCGGACGCTGGACCTCGGCGTCCGATGGTCAGCCCGCAGACGACCACGTGTCCTGATTCCAACGGTCACTTGACTTGACCGGACGCAGCGACTTTCAATCGACCGGACGCTGAACCCCGGCAGTCGTCGGTCGGTCGCTTCCGAGAAGGTATTCGACCTCGACCGACCGTCGGTCACACACTTGATCGGACGCACGTCCGGTCACACTCCACTCACACTCGTCCGCGTCGCCATCGCGTCGGCTGACGCAGCGCGCCAGTCCCGGCGTCCGGTGCATTCAGATCAACGTCCGGTCAGTTGACCGACACCAGCATCTTCGCGACTAACTCGTTTTCACTTCTAACTTCATCACCCTTGCTCCAATGTGCTAATCACAAGAACTTGCATCCGGCGCAATAGAAAATAGGCATTCTATTTTCCCGAAAGCACCGAATCCGAGAGGGACCCAAACCCATCTCACCCCTGCAAACACCACCTCCTTTGTAAATGTGCCAACACCACCAAGTGTATGTGTGTTAGCATTTTCACAATCATTTCTCAAAGGATGTTAGCCACTCAACTTGCCACGCCACTCGATCCTAGCGACAATGCAAAGTTAGATCACTCGAGTGGCACTAGATGACCGATATGCAAACAAGTTTACCCCTCTTGATAGTACGGCCATCTATCCTAAACCCGGTCATAAACTTCTCTACACACCTATGACCGGTGAAATGAAATGCCCTAGGTTATACCTTTGCCTTGCGCATTCCATTTCATCTCCTTCAATGTCGATGCAACACATGCACTAACACGATCAACAATGATATGATCCACTTCATATCATCACATGATCATATTGGTTCATTGATCTTGACTCTACTTGCTCTTCACCATTGCCATCGTCCATCGGCGCCAAGTCTTGCTCAAGCTTCACCGCCACGCGGTCCATCACTCCAAAGCCTTTGACTTGCCCTTCACGCTTGCAACCGGTTCATCAAGCCAAGTCTTGTCTTGATCTTCTCCACCTTGATCACATGACTCAATGTCATGTCTCATGTGCAATAAGCTCCTTCATCATCACATGTGTGAGCTTTGCAACATCTCCAAGCCATTTTCACCTCCATGGCATATGTTGCTCATACACATGTACATGTGGACTAATCACCTGTGTATCTCACATAAACACAATTAGTCCACCTAGGTTGTCACTCAATTACCAAAACCAACAAGGACCTTTCAGCTGCTACGTGGGGATAGGGCTGCTTCAGACGAGCTACTGCGTGGAGAGGAGTGAGCAGGAGCGGCTGGAGCTGCTGCTCGCAGCTGGGGCTGTTGTGTAGCTGGGAGAGGAGAGGAGCAGGAGATGCTCAGGCTACAGGATAGTACGGCTCTGATACCAGTTGTTAGTCGTTGAACTCACTCTCGGTAGTAGCAGAATTCTTACTCTCATCGAGAGAGGATGACACTAGGAGTTGGGACAATTTTTTTGTTTATTTCTCACACAAACTCACACAAATATCATGCCAACCTAAAGGGTTGGGGATACATATTTATAGGCTGCTAGCCAACCAAGCATATACCAAGATACTAGTCTAAGATGCTGTCCTAGATGCTGTCCTAGATGTTGTCCTAATACTATCCTAGATGCTAGTCCTAAATGATAAGATGCTAGTCAAGGGTGTTGTGCTGTCCTTTGGCAGCAAGACCACAAGGACTAGTCAAAGATGATGTCCTTCACCATGCAACCACAAGGAGCACAGCTGCAGCCCCCAGCCCAAAAAAACAAAAACCCACCGAGACTTATCCATCAGGAGATACGTCACTTCCACCTCCAAAACAGCCAATTTATTTTGCAGAAAGGAATTATGGAACTGACGGAGCAGCAGAAGCTAGGTCATGTTTAGATTGCAAAAAATTTCAACCCGATGAATAGTAGCACTTTCGTCTTATTTGGTAAATATTGTCCAATCGTGGATCAACTAAGCTCAAAAGATTCATCTCGTGATTTCCAACTAAACTGTGCAATTAGTTATTTTTTTTATCTACATTTAATGCTCCATACAAACGGCTAAAAATTGATGTGATGAAGAGAGAGTGAAAAAACTTGGAATTTGGAGGTGATCTAAACAAGGCCCTATTGTGAATTCTGCAAATACTATGAGTGTTACAACCTTGGAGGGACGCTAGAAGTATAATTCCTGCAAATACCAATGCAAACACATGAGAAAGCAACATTTCAATCTGCATAGTAAGCAGTAGCTCAGATAGTGCATTTCTGCCGCAATGGCTTCCATATCAAAATGGGGGAAGTGTAGAAGGAACAGAATTAGTGGAAATGGTCGATTATATTGCTGAGCCTCAGATCCGGAGTATGTAGGAGTACATTGCTTATAAGGTAAGCCAGGATTACACGGTGCTAATCTTCCTTATTTGGAGATGTGTAATGTGGGATTCTTGCATAGTTCTCGTGAAATTCATGTCTTCCAGATGGGGCCTTGAGTTTACTACATGTATCAAGTGCCAATACTCCATAGTACAGTAGTACTGAGCACTTTTCAGCTAGGCCCTTTCTGGTTTGACATAGTATAGGCATTTCTTTAACCAACAATAAAAACGATTATGTATATGCTTTCTGTTTTTTCTTTAAAAATGAACATTAAATTGTGAACAGGCAGTTGATAGTTGTGTGTGGCAGCGAGGAGCGAGGCAGGCAGCAAGTCGGAGCTGTGCTTCAGTGCTCAGGCTGGCTAGCCTATGGCGCGGTGGCAAATCCTGCTGCCGGATTGGGCGAGAGAACGGCACAGCTGACCTGCTGCCGGGTGCAGCTGCCCTCGTCCGTCGGCCCGCTCCCTCGGGTCTCTCCATCGCTGCTGCTCCGCTGGACTGGAACCCATCTCTCAGACCTCTGTCTCGCTGGCTTGCGCGCACGGGGCCGCGGGACGACAAGCATCGCGGTCCATTGTTTATCTCGCCAAGCTGGCCACTCGGCAAATCCAAACCGGAACTGGAACGAGGCTGTTTGACAGTTGTTCACTCGCGCCTTATGCTCTTATCCCAAGTCCAGAATACCAACCTCGCGCACGACCAATCCTGTCAGCGCTGCGCCAACCTCTCGTTGACAATCCCGGCATGTCCGCCATCGACAGAGCTGTTCCCTACTGAACTCTTTGTCCTACGCCACGGGTCAACTCCATAGACCATAGTAGTACCCCCTACCGCCACTTGTTTTGCTCGCATGCCGGGATGCCCAAAACAGCAGCGCGGCCGGCGCCAACCCGCCTCCTGTGAATCCGACCATTTCTTTGCCGCAACTTGCAACCACCGCCTCCGCCCCCGGCCGTCCAATATATGCTCCCGTCCTTTTCCCGGACACATCAGGAAAGCAAGCACCCAACCCGGAAGTCAGAATGCACTTGACGCTCAGCCCTGCGAGGACGACGACGAGGAAGGCGGCCGCGGCGGTGCACGCGCGGTCCGCGAGCGAGCCGTGCCACCCCGCGCTCGCGCGCCTCCACGGCACCGTCCGCGCGCTCAGGGCGTGGTCCAGGTCCAGCTGCGGCGCCGGCGGAGCCTCCTCCTCCTCCGGGTCCGGGCACGGCCTCGCGCTCCTGGAGACAGTCCTGGCCGCGCTCGGCGACCTGCTCGCCACGCCGCCGGCCGCGGCGGCGCTCCACGACCCCGCCGACGACGACGACAAGGTCCTCGACGGCCTCCTCGTGCTCGCGGACGCGTACGGCACGTTCGAGTCGACGCTGCTCGCGGCGAAGCAGACCCTGGCGGACGCGCAGGCCGGCGCCCGCCGCGGGGACGGCGCGGTGGTCACCGCGTCGGTGCGCGCGCACAAGTGGACCGAGAAGGAGCTGCACCACCTCGCCGCCGCGATGCGGCACGCCTCGAGGCGCGCGGCGCCGGTGCCCAGCTCGGCGGACGCCACGGACACTGATGTGGTCGGCGCGGTGGCGGAGGCGGCCGTGGCCGCGGCGGAGGCCTCGGCAGTCGTCTTCTCCGGGTGCGCGGCCATGTCGCCGGACGTGTCGGCCATGGTACGAACGGTGCCTTCGCACAGGTGGCTGCCGAGGCTGGGCGTCGCGCCAGGGGCCAGGAAAGTAGCGCCGGAGATGGCGCCAGCGGCATTGCAAAGGCTGGAGGAGCTAGAGGACCGCATTGCCGGGCTGGAGAGCGAGAGCGAGAAGGTGTTCAGGAGGCTGCTGCAGGCTAGAGTTCTGCTCCTCAACATCCATGACCCCTTGTAATTCCACGACTGTGTTTTAGTCGAGATTTCAGAGGATCAAATTAGGAATGTGCAGATTAGTATCAGTTGGGCAGATATGTCACTCTTCGCTTCTTGCGCAGAATCATCTCCTTCCGCTCAAATGGTTAGTGGTATTTGATCAACAACGAACAAAACATTTCACATTTTAGGCATAGTATAACACTTAGACCCATGCGCATCTTACAAAAAGAAACGGAATGAGTATGAGGGCACTGGTAAATCTGGAGCCAATCTCCAAAGACAACATGCTGATAACTGGAAGAACATAAACTATTTTTAAGTTATTACAACAATGGTTGTAACCGCATTTTTGTCCTCCAAAACGAACACTCAACCAATTACAGGGAAGAAAAGACAACTGAAGTGATGTGTTCAAGATACAACTGCAGCGAGGCAGACGGTAACCACCAATCTTCAGCACAGAGATTGGCTGGTACATTTGCTGGACACAAAATTGTTAGCTATGGAGAAACAGCTAGCAACACCCCAGCACCTTTTATATCAGCATTACACTACCCATATTTGCCTATCAGAAGGTGCCCGACTGTCTCTCCATTAGCGATAATATATGGTTATTCAACCATCATCTCTTCTTGATATTTGAACATCAGGTATTAGTCTTGTGATGCCAACTAGCAGAAAACCTTGCGATTCATAGGCGTTCAATGTTCCCACATCAGAGTAGGCTTAACTGTTGAAAGGATAAACTTATATTGCACAAATAAGGAACTCAAAGCTGAAGTAGCAATGTAGGTGCCTGAAGTCGTCCAACAACATGAGGCATGTTTGCACATCTTGCTGGCACAGTTGAAGCTAAGAATGTTGTAAAAATGATCAGGGTTGCAAAAATTGCTGAAGAATGCCTGACTCTTCAATTCAGGCAATGCTTTATTCAAATAATAAAATTCAGGCAATGCTACCAACCAGGCACCGTCATGGTTGTACCTCAGCCAATAGCCGCCAAACCAAAGTGAAGAACTAGAGCAAACTCATGAATCCCAACAAAATTACCTGGAATTAAGCAACCCTTGCATCACGAAAAAAATAATCTGACCAGAGAACTGAAAGGAACCGAATTTCAAAGGTTCAACCTTTCCTCATGAATCTTGACCTACCAACAGGATAGTGCACAGTTGAAACGTGACTTTTGAGTTCCAGGCTTCAAATGCCACAACTATGTCTACGGCACCAGCTCTATCAACCAACCATGCCATACTCTGAAAATCCATGCACCTTCTCACTTGCTTATCTCCAGCACACAAACCTCCTGCCCGTGGCACCATCAATCCATTCTCCATCAGAAGTGCGCCAAGCACCATTGAACATGGCTTACTGACATGATTTCCCATGAAGTTGACAACATCCTTCTACTGTTACTTCTCCGATACATCCAACAAGCAATCCTCATGCTCAACAAAATCATCACCACTCTCTCTGGCATCAGCAGTGGCACCTGAAGCCATGTTGGCACTTGAATTGGCATTCCCAAGACCACGTCGATGCAGGAGCATGAGCTCAACGAGTTTGGCCCTTGCCTCAGACACATCATTCGACTCAACAAGCTTTCCACGATCATACATCTCCCTCAAAAACACCGTGTGTCGCTTTCCTTTCGCCGAGAGGTAGATTATCCCGGGGTGATCCAAGAACACGTCCCGGACATTGACCTCGATCCCAAACTACTTCCTGAACTGACTGACTGAACTTCTCCACCTCCACCATCTTCCCCACGGTCAGGCTCAGGAACTCGTGCGCGATCCCTACTGCCCTCTTCTCCATCTTCCTCCTCGCCAACTTCGACACCCTCTTGCTCCCAGCCCTCGGACTGACGACCTGATACGGGCCGGTGTAAGGCAGCAGCTGCCACTCCTTCACCTTTTTCCGATACTCCTTGGTCAGCCTGAACCCCGGCGGAAACTGCAGCTTGAAGGCGTCCCTGTCCGGCCGGGTCCTCTCCACCGCCGGGGTGAATTCCTCGGTCGCCGGATCGGTGACGAGGTGGAGAATGTGGGTGTTGGGTTCGTCCGGGTTGGGGCCGAGACGGAAGAGGTGCGGGTGCCCCTCGACGACGGAGTCCTCGAAGTCGTCGGGGGAGGGCGAGCTCGCGCCAGACGCGGAAGACGGCGCGGAGGGGCAGGGAGCGGGTGACCGACATCGCGAGGAGGCGATGGAGCGTCCGCGCCGCGTCGGCGGGGGAGCTGGCGACGGCGAGGAGGCCCGCGGCGGCGGCGGTCAGGGAGAGGGAGAGGGGAGCGGGGCGCGGAGGTCGAATACGCGCGGGAAGAGGCGGAGGAAGTGGAGCGGGCAGCGGCGGTGGAGGCGGAGCGGCAGGCGGCGCGCGAGGTTGGGCAGCGCGAGCGGCTCGGGGCAGGCCCGCAGCGCGTCGATCAGCGGCGACGCCGCGACGAGGGGCAGGTGCGCCGTCGCGAGCCGCTCGAAGGTGTGATCCAGGCGCCGCGGTGGTCTTGCCCCGCGCCAGCAGCAGCGGCGCCGCCACCCGTAGCGGCAACGGCATGGGGACGCCCCGCGTCGGCGCGTCGGGCTCCGGCCGGACAGGAGCGGCTGGAGCCGTGCCCTTGCGGCACAGCCACACAGGCGCTGCCACACAGGGCTGATGGGCCGATCTGCAGGTACGATCTGGACCGTTGGGCTGAATGGTCTCAGGATGTGGAGATGCAGCGGCCTGCCAGGCCTAAGGATTTCGGTGTGGAGTCCACAATATTTTCGGCCGAGGTAGATTCGCCGCCAACGAAAACCTCTCGGCTGCTGTTGCGTGGATCATCTACTCCGGTCTCCTCGGCGTCGTCCTCTTCGAGTTCTGCAGTTGAGCACCTAATCAGGTGAGAGTTGCATACGCGGTTGATTTTCAGTTTATTTTATTTATATTGTCCCTGCTACTGTTCTGTTGCGGAAACTGAATGGCGCTTCGCATTGCGTGGGAAGTGGGTTGAAGATCGGTGACCGAGGGACTCCGATCCCGTTCCATCTTTCGTTTTGAAACGAGACTACGAGAGGGGGGGCTTGTGCTCGAGGAACCCTCATCAGGAAGGAAGGCTGATGCGGATTCCAAAAGGAATGATGCGCCATTGCGTGTGTTCACTTTACCCGCTTTTTCTGGAGATTCCATATTTCCATCCATGGCATTCTCTTTCCTTTTTCCGTGGTTTTATTTCGTTGATAAAGAAAAATGTGTTTCTATCATGCTTAAAAAAAATTGTCTACATAGAAAGAACCAGGATATGTCTTACTGTGTTCTGCAGATTTTCTAACTGTGTCATCAAATGTGAAATAATGCACACCTGAATGTCTATCAGCTTTGCTACTATAGTTCTCCTCGAAACAGTTATTTTCTTGATGCACTATAGAAACAAGATTGAATTCAGAAAAACTGTGACCATTCTAGCAGGAAATATACCTTTTTTCACCAAGAAGAAAATAGACACCCAAATTTGAGTTAGAGAGGGCTAGGTTGAAGAGGCTCAAACCTTAGTCGTTGGGTATACTCAGTATGAGTATGACCACACCTCCCATCCAACTAGGCTCACTTTCTAAAAGTGAATTCAGGAATTAGCTGTATATAGACAAGGATCCAAGGAACCATATCATTCATTATTTGCCGGTGAAATCCTTTGCAAAATATCAGGCCAAATAGGTAGGCCACGCCATGAACATGAGCCATCAGAGGCTGTGGTCCCTGCATTTTATTGCACCGACACTGTCCAAGCTTGCCATCAGCCCATCACAAAACTGTATTTTTTTTCCTTCCACGTGAGTTTTTCTATTTTTCAAGTCAAAAGGAAAAGCAGAAAATGCTGGGAGCAAATGGAGGCCCTGCAATCTCTCCCCATAACCCTCTGTGGTGCCCTTTCGCCATTGACCTTGACCAAATCCTGTCCACCCTCCGATTCTCCATGCAGGCAAAGAACAAGGGGGGTGAACATCCCCTGCGCCAGTGCGTGACGAGGAGATAAAAAAAAGGGCAACAGCTCAAAAGGAGAGCCTTTTGGTTTTACCCTGCTTCTACTGCAAACAACCATCATGGGCGGGCAAAGCTGCCCAGATCAATGATATAGTGGGCGATACTCAGAGAGGGCAGAGCAAATTTGCTACGGTGACAAGGGAATACTGGGACACATATACATCGTTATAAGGTGGGTAATTCCAAGATTTACTGCAGCTCTCGCGTGGTTAAATTCGTTGGGTTCATGTTTTTATTAATTCTTGGAATTGTGTTAAGGCTTTCTGTCTGCCATTGAAAATTGTTCTGTCCCCTTCCAATGTAGTCGGTTAAAAGATTATTGGAGACATTGTCTTGAAAAAAGATATCCTTTTCCTGATCCTAATGAAGGTAGATACAATGTCCTAAACAAGTTGTTCAGCATTGTGCTCTCGGAGCAAAGCACCAAAAATCCTCTGCATGGAAATGGCAGCTGATTGGTGTTTGTTGCCTAAAGAGCCAAACAAGAAAAATAAAAAGTAGGCTCTTGAAATGTCAAAGATGGTTCAGAAACCAATAGTCCGGAAATTTTGTTCAGAAACCAATACTATGTCAGAAATTTAGAGCACATCTCTCGTCATTGTCAATGCATACAGTCCAAGGATAGAAACGTCACATTCGTGCAAGAGGCCTATTTCTTCTCGCAAATCATCTTCCTCGGACGATCCACTGCGCTGGCTGGGGTCTCCACAGGCAGGCATTGCTCCAACACCATTACCACGTGAGCAAGGACAGGGCATGGTCTCGCCTCGCCCTCGGTGGCTCCCCGCTTTTTCCTTCCCACCAATTCCACCCTATTTTTATGCTGATGTCGGCCTCATCTTTCCGGGTGTGGCCTCCATTCACACCCCGCTTTCTTTATTTATTGAAGGGAGGACAGGGTTAGCTGGGGCGCTGCCGACATGTGGGCGTGTTCGGCATCACGCCACCACTTCACCCCCCCCTAGTCCCTCACCACTGGCTCTTCTCAGTGCCTGCCTCACTAACCTCACCATTGCTGAAGTGCAGAGCTCGCATAAATAGGCAGCACCCGTGGTGCTACTCTCCTGTCCCCTTCCGGCCTTTCCCCCCTCTGGTGCTTGGGGGGTACTCTGCCTCTTCTTCGTCGTCTTGGCGTTCTCCAGTGCTCTGCCTTCCTGAGCTGGCTTCTTGTACAGGTCAGGTTCCTCCGCTGATTTCGTTTCGTGCGCTTTGTTTCTAGGAGGGGATGGATCCATATGGAAATGCAACGGCTCCCGCTGAGGGGCATTGATGGGGTCTGCTTCCCATTTCGTTAATTTTTTGGATTCATGGGCATGGGCATGGGCATGGGCTGGTGCTTAGCTGCCATTGTCGTGTGGCTTCTGATTTGCCGTTTGCTGGGAATCTTTACTGTTTAGCATCCTTTGCCCTTTATGTATGCTAAAAGGACATACTTGCCTTCAGCAAGAAGCATAAGTCTGCTGATTTTATTTGAGGCATGCTGCGTGCATACGATTCTGCACAGTTTTCTCCTCTCGGGCGAAGCAAAACCTTTTGGAGATTTTATCACGGTCTGAGGTTCTTATTGTTAATCTTTTTCTCTGGCTGCTTCTTGTAACTTGTTTTTATGGGTTAGGTTGGTAATTGGTGCCTCTTTAATTTTGGGCAAACATAAATTCAGGTGTTGTTCAGAAATCAGATCAAGCATATCTGCTATCTCCATCTCCGTTCACTTTCTGAATTTTGTTGTTCTAATTCTAAGTTCTAAAGTCGTAGCTAGCCACAGAAATTTACTGCCAGTGTTCAAACTAGTTAGTTTTGATCTCACCAAACAGTACAGTAATTGTCCCCAAAAACCTGACTGAAGCATGGTAAATTACTAAATTTCAAATCTTGATACTTCCTTACATTTCTTTCACTGCTTATAGTAGAATTAGTTTATCTGGCAGTGCAAACCCTATGCCTTCATCTCCAGACTCCAGTGTTCAGCTCAATTGCTCAAATCAAAGACGTGTAGCCTAAATTTGTCAGTTTAACCCCTCTACTCTGAACTCTGTGAGCTGTTCCTAAATTTGGTGCCTTTCTCCATTAGATCAAATTAAATTCTGTTGACACCTCACTGGTTGTTGGAACTGCAGGAGCCATGGCTAAGGACTACCCAGCTTCTCCCAAAGCCCAGCAGCTGCAGGAATCCAAGAAGCAGCGCCTGACATACATCCTCGTTGTAAGCGCGCTGTGCATCGCCTTCTACGTCCTTGGCACATGGCAGAACACCACGCTTCCAAAGCCCATAGGCAACTCGGCGATCACCCGGGTTGGCTGCGATCCCTCAACTGCCTCCACGACACAGTCCTCTGGCTCTGTGCCGTCGTTTGGGCCAGGCTCCGGCGAGGTGCTTGACTTTGACGCACACCACCGGCTCACCATCAACAACACAGACGGCGATGGGGAACTGCAGCAGTTCCCAGCATGCCCTCTCAACTTCAGTGAGTACACGCCGTGTGAGGACCGTACGCGCGGGCGCCGGTTCGACCGCGCCATGCTAGTGTACCGGGAGCGCCATTGTCCTGGCAAGGACGAGCAGGTCCGATGCCTCATCCCAGCACCGCCTGGGTACAGGACCCCCTTCAAGTGGCCTCATAGCAGGGACTACGCCTATTTCAACAACATCCCCCACAAGGAGCTCAGCATTGAGAAAGCAGTGCAGAACTGGATCCAGGTTGAGGGCGACAAGTTCAAGTTCCCTGGTGGTGGCACTATGTTCCCGCGTGGTGCTGATGCCTACATAGATGATATCGATAAGCTCATCTCATTATCGGATGGGAAGATCAGGACGGCTGTTGACACAGGTTGTGGGGTAAGTAGAAGAATGCCTTGGGTTTAGGTTCTAGTTGTGCGTTGTGATAGTGCTGATGCTTTTGTTGTTGAAGGTTGCTAGTTGGGGAGCTTACTTGCTGAAGAGGAACATCATTGCCATGTCATTTGCGCCAAGAGACACGCACGAAGCTCAGGTGCAATTCGCACTGGAAAGAGGTGTCCCTGCCATCATTGGTGTGATGGGGAAGCACCGGTTGCCTTACCCATCTAGGGCATTTGATATGGCACATTGCTCTCGCTGTCTGATTCCTTGGTATGCACATGGTGAGTACTTCATACCTCTGCCATTTGATCCACTGTGTATCTTTTCTACTTTTCAAGTTGTCCTTGGGTAGAAAACGAACTGACTTAGTGGATGTTCTCAAATTTCCTTTAGATGGACTATATCTTGCTGAAGTCGATAGGATTCTAAGGCCAGGAGGATATTGGATTCTCTCGGGTCCTCCAATCAACTGGAAGACGCACCACGCGGGGTGGGAGAGGACAAAGGACGACCTCAAGCAAGAGCAAGACAAGATTGAGGATGTCGCGAGGAGCCTTTGCTGGAACAAGGTGGTTGAGAAGAGGGATCTCTCCATCTGGCAGAAGCCTAAGAACCACCTTGAGTGTGCCAACATTAAGAAGACATATAAGATACCCCATATCTGCAAGAGTGACAATCCTGATGCTGCTTGGTATAAAACCGCTGAACCAATAAAAATAGGTGTGATGATCCATTTAGTTGTCTATTACTTATTCCTTTTCCGTTCCATATACAGGTACAGACAGATGGAAGCCTGTGTTACTCCATTGCCTGAAGTAAGCAACCAGGGAGAAGTGGCGGGAGGAGCAGTGGAGAAATGGCCAGAGAGGGCATTCTTAGTTCCCCCCAGGATTAAAAGGGGCATGATTCCAGGATTGGATGCAAAGAAGTTTGATGAGGACAAGAAGTTGTGGGAGAAGAGGGTGGCATACTACAAGCGCACCATACCCATAGCAGAGAATAGATACAGAAATGTGATGGACATGAACGCAAACATGGGTGGGTTTGCTGCTTCTTTAGTGAAGTACCCTGCGTGGGTGATGAATGTCGTCCCTGTTAACTCTGACCGGGACACCCTTGGGGCAATATACGAGCGAGGGTTCATTGGCACATACCAGGACTGGTGTGAAGCTTTCTCAACGTATCCAAGAACCTATGACCTCTTGCATGCTGACAATTTGTTTAGCATCTACCAAGACAGGTAAGGAAATTCTGCACTTCACTCTTTATTTTAGCCATGTTCATGACATTACTGTTTGCTATCTTCTTGTTACCTTTTTTTTTTGGCCATCATTTTGTCAGCCTTGAAAATCATAATCAATTGATAGTTCGCTTTAGCCTTTTAAGGAAGACATCTGCTTACTTTTATCAAAATATTTTTTTAGTGGTTTATGATTATGAGAAGATATTTGAGTTTTGTTCGGCACCTTATCATTTTTCTTGACACCAAGTAATTGTGGAGGTTATGCTAGGCATCTCAGTGCAACATGTTCACCTCTAATTAAATGTGAGATAGCCTTCAGCCTTGCCCAGTTGATGACTGCATGTCTGCAGTACAATTTACTGTTAATATTGCCTTTAACACAGGACTCTAGTTTAACTGTTGTCCTGGTATGTTTTCTGACATATTTGTTATACTTCTACCACTGCCCCTACTCTCATGTCTTCTGAAACTGACCTTGGTTATTCACAAGAGCTCCTCTGTCAGCAAGTGTGCGAGCATTGTTTCAGCTCTGAAATATCCATAATATATGGCATTTTTTTACAATATACAGGCCATCATGATGTGTTTTCTGCTAAACTTTTCAGGTGCGATATAACCGACATCCTCTTGGAGATGGATAGGATATTAAGGCCCGAGGGCACAGCTATCATCCGTGACACAGTTGACGTGCTCACGAAAGTCCAGGCGATAACCAAGCGGATGCGGTGGGAAAGCCGCATCATGGACCACGAGGATGGCCCCTTCAACCCAGAGAAGGTCCTCATGGCGGTTAAGACGTACTGGACTGCCAAAGCAGAGGAGGAGCATTAGCACACAGGCAACACAGCTCACTGAAAGCCTGAACCAGGCTTGTTCTACCAGTTGCCAGTTGCCAGTTGCAAGGATGGCATCAGGGTTTTGCCATCTCAGTGTAGTATGGGACCGCTTGGTCACGTGTTCCTTTCACCTTTCTCTAATTCTTTGTAGCTACAATCAGATGAGAAGTTCAGGGAGGGGGTTTGAGGGGGTGATTGGACCTCTAGTTGATACAGGAAAAACGGTTTTGTAGCAGGGGAAGAATTCGCTGGTCTTGCATAGGTTCCTGGCCCTGTTCCACGAGGGGTTTGAGCTAGGTTTTAGTTTGTAATATGGTGGCACCGAGCAGGCAGTGTTACCGTATATTGGGGTGACACTAAATAGTAATAGGTATTTATTCAGTTTTCCTCTGAACACTGAAGTGCTTGAAAATTGAAATTAAAGGTTCATTTCTCATGCAACCAGATTCTGGCTGTTCCGGCATGATAGTAGCAGTCGATGGTCGCTACTGTGGCTTTCACTTGACAGATTGAAGGTTGTTCATTTTACCATCTTCTAGCCTGAAGTCTGAACCCCCATAGCAGAAGACAACAATATGGGTACTAGCTTATTGCTTCCTTGGCTTGGCCCATGAACATGTTCAGCTGGGTCTTCTTTGTACAGTTTCGCCCATACTACAGAACTCGTCAACAGGCAACAGCCCAAGAGGATTGACGAAATGCTTGGCGCTACGTATTTTCAGTGTCATAATAATAAAGAAATGTCAAAACATAAAGCATACAAACTCGATCACTTGACTCATCTCCTGCCTCCAACTCTTCAAGGCTTTCGGCGCACTACGCGAGCAATTGAACATTTAATTTAGAGTCCAATGACCTGACTTTTTTAATAAAAAAGAATAATGATTCTTTGTCCTTTTCTTTTCTTTTCTTTTGGCTTAGTGTGCTTGCATTCTTCATCCGCTTTACTAAAGCTCTGGCTTTCCTAATCGTGAAATTTCTTACTATATGCCAAAGTTAAAAGCTAATGCTTGTCATTATGCCTTGAAACCGTCCGCTCTTGAAATATACGGCAAACAGACCCAACTTGTGTGTCTTTGTTGGCCAATTTCATGCCGACAAGTCAAAGAAGAAAATTGCCAAAACTCTGCGGTGTTTTTAGCAGTCTACTGCCGAGTAAGGCAGTATGAGCTTTCAAGCAAAAACAACATGTAGAATCTAGAAGCCTCCTAACATACACAACTATTTGGAGTTTCAGACGAACAAAGGGCCGCACGCGTGATGCAACCTTTTAATAGTAGGTATGTTGGTGTTGTCTTATAGTCAAATTCGTGTGTTGATACGTAACCCTAAGACGATTTAATAGGCAACTCATAATACCACAATTCTTTAATTTGTGGACTAAAAAATATAAATTAGTGAGTACACAACCTTAAGATGATTTCACAGACAACCCATATAATACCAAAATTCCTCAATTTGTAGATTACAAATATGAATTGGTACGCTATCCCTCTGTCCTAAAAAGAGGGCATGTCTTGTTTTGAATGAGTCAATAATTTTAAATTTAACTAGACTCATCGAAAATAGTACTAACATTTATATTTTCAAATAAGTTTACTTTGAAAATACATTGCATGATTAATTTAGTGATATCTATTAATTTTCATAACTATTAGTACCTTTTTATATATTTGACCAAACTCGAGATTTGTTAACTCCAAAAAATGAGATACACACACACTTTTTAGAACGTATGGAGTTTAAATTTGTCTCGTAGTATAAAATTTTAGCCTATGAGATGGTTGCTTTTGGAAACAACGGTCTTTTTCTCCTTCACATCATAAAAGATGCTACATAGAACCTTTCAAAAAAAAAAAGATGCTACATAGCTCAGAATGAAATGACCTACGAGACCTCAAGTATACATAAGTGTACTCGCCCTAAAATACCATGCTTGGGTTTGGAGAGGTGAGGATTAGATTGAGTCCTTTTCTTTGTCCGAGAAATGAGTTTCGGATCCAATTCCAGTCTTCCTCCAGAGCCCAGAAGAGGACAGTTGAAAAACCAATACTACATCGAATACTCACATGTCCATGGCGGATTAGTGGGAAAAGGCTTGTCAGGTTCTGGGAACTCATTGCGTGCTGGCACTTTAGTTTGCAGCGAGATTTCCGGAAACCTTCTAATAACACCCAGGTGGACTTGGACTTTCGACTCCACCACCACCACGCCAGCTGCAGTTGATTCAAGACGGACTGACGGAGCTGGTAGTCGTGTGTGGAAGTAGACTTAATTTTTGATCAACCCAATGCTTCCAACGGCCTCATCCCTCATGCGTACGTCAAACATCAACCACCGCAACCATCAATAAACGTGCGCGAGGACTTCCGAAGCTAATGGCATGGCATGGCAGATTTGTCCCGGAACCAATTTTCTTTTCTTTTCTTTTTCATTTTAAGGCTGGTTTGTTTGGTAGGTAGTTCGTGCTTGGTTGAAGGTCATCAGTCATCAGAAGGTTAGGAAGGGGGAGGAACATTTGTGGAGCTGCTCCTTTTTTGTTGAGAAATTTGTGGAGCTGCTTTCATTCAGTAGTTGGGGCCTTTGAATTTAAGGGGTCGTTTTGGCATGCTTATCCAATCCTAGCTAGATCAATTAGTACAAACTCTAGGTAGATCAAGCACTACAAAAGTCATATTTGTATTGCCTTTTTTTTATCATCCATCAACTGCTTAGTCTAATTCTAGTTGAATCGTATTGTAATGCATGGGAAGAAGAATCCAAGTCTTGCAACACATTTTTTCCTTGTTCTTCACCCAGTTGACTAAATCTGGGGATCAGCAGCAAATGGGATGAGATAGAGAAATAAATACATTGTCAATGTTTTCAAGTACAAAAAATTGATAGATAAGGTGATAAAAACTGCTTCCATTATGTGCTCATCTTTCGCAAATATATGCCAGTTCGACACGGACATAAGAATGTGTAGTACATGCTCCGGATATTACAGTGGAATATGTTCAAAAGGTGGACAATAGAACAAATTGAAAACGGGCCGTATTATCGAATTTTCCATTAATGTAAACTACTTGCGGATCTTTTGCTAATTATTATGTGGACCTTTGGCATGTTAATTTTGCTCACGAATTTCCTCCGATACTAAACATAATATCCCTCAAAGGCTTGATAGGAAAGCGTCCCTCGAAGGCTTGATAGGAAAGCGAGTCTCGTCTGGCTAGCTCATCGAATCGGATGCATTAGCGTTAACGCGTTTGTGATGGCCAAAGTTTACACTCGAGAGATGAACAATTATTAATCGCTATATATATTGCAAAAAAAAAGTAGTTTACAGGAACAAAACAGTACTTTTGCAGAGCATAGTTGTATTAGCAAAGTATATATTGACGTACAAGAAAGGAAAAGAAAAGCTAAGGCTAAAGATGAACATCATCCCCTCTAGATCTTTACACTTGAGATCGACCATCATCACAAATTTTTCGTCATCATCGTCAACACCTAGCTAGATGCATCGTCCTCCCATCCATGTCTCTCGCCACAAAGCTTCAAACCAATCGTATTCTATCGATGAACCCTCACAGAGAAAGCAACGCGAGAGAGAGGGAGGGAGGACGAGCCAAACCAAAAGCTAATTAAAGCAACCGCCTCGACGGCCGGCCCGTCGTCAGGCGCGGAAGCAGCCGACGAAGCGCGGGAGGTGCCGGTGGATGTGGTGGTGGTGCGCGGCGCCGCTTGCCGCCAGGGCCCCGCCGTCGAGGTCGACGAGGTGCTGGGCGCAGGAGGAGGTGCCGTGGAGGTCCTGGCCGATGAGGTGCTCGACCTGGACGAAGCGGTCGACGCGGCAGGGGATGGCGATGGCGCCCTGGTGGCGGAAGCCGTACTCGCGCTCGGCCTCCTCCAGCAGCGCGCCGAAGAGCGGGTGCTTGAGGTGGCCCAGCGGCACCGCGAACCGGCGCTGCTCCTCCCCCTCCAGGCCCACGCGCACCGTCACGCACCCCTTGGGCGCCACCGCCGCCGCCGCCGCCATCTGCTGCTGGTGCTTGCCGTGCATGATCGTCGCCAGGCAGGCCAGATCGATCGGCCTAGGAGCTCGGTTGCTCGATTGAATTGAAGAAGAACACGGAGAAGAAGTTAGGGGGCTGGTGGTTAGAGGCAGGAGGAAGAGAAGGGCCAGGGGTCGGAGCTGGAGATGGCGAGGCGGAAGACGGTGAGGGAGGAGTCGCGGAGGGAGGTGGGCACGTTGGACATGGCCTACTACTCCACTTTGTCTCTTCTCAACGACGACGACGACGACGACGGCGATTCGGGTTGGGTCTGCTGCCTCTGCCTTGTGGCTTGTGGAGTCTGTCTGCGAGGAGAGCGAGCTGCTGTGCCGAGCGAGGGAAGGTTGGGAGGCGGAGGGCCGCGGCTTTTATAGCCCCCGCGCACGCCGCCAGGTGGGGTTGCGGCTTGGGAGGGGCGCGTTGGGTTCAGATGATGATAGATGGCGGTCAGGCTTCGGTTCGGGGGCGGCCTTGGCGATCTCTCCTGGTGGAAGTCGTGGACGGTGGTGTCCGTTTTGGCTTCCGAGCCCTTTTAGTTGTGGAATTTGGATTTTGGGTTATTGTTCGGTTTTATTTGGGGGGCGGCCTTGGCGATCTCTCCTGGTGGAAGGCGTTTATCTTTTTCGTTTATATTTAATGCTTTCCACGACGGTGGTGTCCGTTTTGGCTTCCGAGTTTTTCTTCTACTATCGGCCTGTTCGTCGATTAGTTTCAAACTGTTGCCTTGCCTGCAGCAGGTCGGTGGACCATGGATGCATGCCTGGCGTACACGTTTGGCATTGTTCATGGATAAGTTACTGTTCTTCCTCTCTAATGTTTATGTACTGTATACATACTCCTACGTTTTTGTCTAACATAACAACTGCTTTACAATGATTATGTTAAAGAATTGCCCAATGCAAGGCACATCTCCGAGCCACAAGATAGCGCTCGGCTGGTAGAAACATCTATGTGCCCATACGCACGCATGCCGCATGCCGCTGCGTCGGTCAAGTGGTCAAGCCATCACCTCAATCCTCCTCTCTCTCCCCGGCGCGAAAAGCCGACGTTTGGTCCGGTTCCGCGCGGAGAAAAATCACCTTCACCTGACGTCTGTACTCGGGGCCCCGCTGTTGCTGGGCGTGGGCGGTGAGGATCCGGCCATCCATCCAACCGGGAAGAGAGGGCTCCGGCGTGCGCCACATGCATGCTTGTGTGGCGAGCTGCAACTGGAACTCACGGTCACCCTGTACGTGCGGCCGCGTGCGTTCGTTCCACTCAAAATCTAAAAAAGTCCTGTTCGTTACGGCCGCGTTTTGAGCGTTCGTTCCATTATTTACAAATAAAACGAAAATCTTACAGTAACTCCAGACCCAACTAAACACGCCCTTACAGTAGAGACGAGACGCATGCATCGCCCTCACGCATAAATGTCGACGGTTAATTTGGGTTCTCACCTTGTCCCGTCAGTCCGTCTCAGGTGCGGTGCGTGGTGACGATTATTCGGCCATATATCAACAGTGAGGTTATTCCAAGCTTATCGAGCAAGCCCGATAGATAGGGCTCTGTCCACGTTCACGAACCTGGATGATGACGAGTCGAGCTGTGTGTGCACGGCGGATGCTGAGAGGGTCGTGGGTGGTTGATGGCGCCGCCAATCCACCTGCTACCTCTGCCGTGTTTTGGCTACGTTCATTCTGGCCACCTCGGTCATACGGCACGACTGACCGCACCAACCTTTGGCATCTTGCACACCTGCTCATAGCATCTGAGTTCACCCACAAGCAGGCTGCGTAGCGTAGCTTTTGTCACCTCCCACCACCTCAAGCCGAGAGCCGCCTAGCCAATTACGCTGCAGGCTAGCTGGCTGACTCTAGAGTTTGGTGATGGTGGGAGTGAACCTGGCAGCTGGCACAAAGACCAATAAAAGAAAACCGATGCTACGAAGTTGCTTGTAAAATTGATGTACGTAGAGCATGTAGAGATTTTTTTTTTTTTTGGCGATCATGTAGAGAGGATTTTGTACTGCTACTGCCTACTGGTTTGGGGGGTGCCTGGAGAAATGAGATGGTTCTGCAGACTGGTAATCAGGAAACATGTGTTAAAACTCTGATCACCTGTCACTCTGTCAGGAGTACAAACTAGTATTAATTAACCACGTCCCCCTCCAAAAGTCGACCGTGGCCCTTCACAGAATTAAGGGGGGCCAACGTCGGACTTGACCCGTTGACCGCATCAATCCCACTGGACCGCACCATCGCGCCAGACGGGTGGGATGGGAGCTGGTTAGGTGGGTACGGTGTCGCACGGCCGCGGACGAATCGGTCCATTTCCCAGCGTCTCGGCGCCGGGAGCGCTTGGGGGAGGCGGTGCCCGCGCCACGCGCCGACCGATGATGCGTCACGAGCCCTTGGAAGCTTTCAAATCCTGGAAGCTGGGGGAATGGAGAAGTCTGGGTCCCCCTTGCCACTTGCGCGGTTCTTGGACCCGTGCTACGCGCGTGTGCCCGGGTGGGGTCGGAACTCGGGCGAGTGAGATATGCAGCGTGTTCGGTTGCTCGTCGTAAATTTCCAACCGGGAACAGTGTTTTCTCTCACACCAAACCAGCCAGCAGTAAATAATCCACGATACGATACGGCCTCCCGAACAGGCTGATGGCAGTTGGAGTGGTAAATCCCTCTTGCGGGATCTGGAAGCCGACTGCACGCGCGCACCCATTCCAGATGATCCTGATTTACGGTTGTCAAGGAGACCCATGCGGTGCACGTAACAGTAACAGTTGCCATCATCCGACTCACCCGATGATTGGGATTCAACTTCACCCTTATGTCTTGGTATACGATTTTTTCCATCATCGCGTGGCCGGACGGGCGAATCTGGGGACGGTAGTTGGCGCGCCGAGGGCGGTCACACTTAATCTTTTTCAAATGGCCCGCCCGGCACGGCACGGCACGGGCACGGCATCGGCACGGCACGGCGAGGCACGGCACTATGTGGCACGGCGGCCCGCCGTGCTGTGCCTGTTAGTGCCACCGTGCCTAAGTGGCAGCCCAGGCACGGCACTATGGAGGGGAAACCGTGACGTGCCGTGCCAGCAGGCACGGTGGCACGCCAGTGCCCGTGCCGGCCCAGGCACTAACACATTTTTAACCCAAGTTCATCAGCACAAGTCGTCGTCTTCTCCAGGGAGCTCGCGCAACCTCTCGGACTCCTCATGGTACGCAGACAAGGCAGCCTCGACTGTCTCTTCAGAGGGAGGCCGGGGAGGCATCGCCACTTGCCTCAAACGGCTGCACAAGTGCACATGAGCAAGAAGAAGTAGATCATTAGATCAAGATTCAAGAACAAGAAGAAGAAGATGGTCAAGATCAAGAACTAAAGAAAGAACAAGAACGGTTAGGGTTAGGGTTTATCATGCGATTCTTACCTCAACGACGCCGACGACGTGAGACGGAGCTCGGGCATTGCGAATCAACGGATCTCAAAGAAAGAAGAAGAAAAAGATCGGAAGAGAAAGCATCTTCCATGCCGAGCTGCCGGGGCGAGAAGAAGAAGAAGATGAGTGCTCTTACCGCATCTTGAGCCCCGAGATGACGAGGGGCGAGAAGAAGAGGTGGGGACGGCGGCGGGTCGCCGTCGCCCGTCGGAGTCGTCCCGCGCCGTCGGAATCGGAGAGGAGAGCCAGAGAGAGCGAGAGGAGAGCGCGGCGGGGGAGGGCGAGAATGATTTAGGGTTTGGGGTGCGAGGGGGAGCCAGCCGACGACGCTACTTATATATACCCCCACCCCAACGGCGGAATCCAACGGCTAGAATCGCAGGGTCGGAGGATCCAACGGCCATGATGGCTCGAAGCCGTGCCGATGCCGGGCCAGACCTTTTTTCGTGCCGTGCCTCGTGCTGGCCCATGGGCCGAATGTGCGGCCCAGGCACGGGCACGGCTGCGGGCCGTTCTAGGCACGGGCATGATGCCTAGCGGACCGGGCCGGGCTAGTGCCGTGCTTTTTAGGGCCGTTCCCATGTCGGCCCGTCGGGCCTGGCCCATTTGAAAAACTATAGTCACGCTCCCAAGTTGGGTGGCGTCGTACCTCGTACGCAAGGCCACCTGACGGGGTGCTGCTACGTCGGTTGTTTGTGGCGTGAGGTCTCCTTGAAACTGGGATCATGATGGCGCTTGCTGCGTGCGTCGGCAAACTCGGCACCGGCAGGCGGCAGCAGGTATTGATTTCGTGTGGGACGCGGGGACGCCGGACGGACGGGGGGAGGGGGCATCGGGTGGAGGCAGGCACGGGTGCGGGTGGTGCCGTTTGGGGCTGCTCTGTAGTAGCGCGCGTCTATACATTGCGTGAGGCGGTGGCCTGAGGCCGCCGGCAAAGTGGCGAGTCTACATTTTTGCAAAATATTTGAAGAAAATATAAACCTAGGTTATAAAACACGTCTATACATTTTGGCATCTTGCAAGTCTACATTTTGCATAATGGCACCGAAAGTAGTAAGCATTTGGTTAGATTTTATTTGATGTGGTGTGAGGCGCCCACAGCCACACCCAATTGAGCTCCTGTCTTCGATTAAGCTCGGTTTCGTCTGTTATCTTTAACAGATTCTATCCAAGTTAATAAGGAGTATATTAGTAATTGAGTATTGTATGTTTAATATTCCGTAAAAGAAAAGTTTAAGCTAATAAAAAACGATAATTACTCTTTTGTTGCTTAAAAAAGACAATTATTCTGTTATTACAAAGGCGTAGTATACTGTACAAGACTTTGTGGTTTTCATATGCATGCTTCTTCATTAACATCATCGTGTCTTTTGTACGCTCGCTCCCAAAGTCACATGTGTGTACACGTGTGTTCTGCCGATCATTCCGTGTTTTTTGGAGGTCTGCAGACTGCAGCTGCAAGGGATAGGACTAACCCATAGCTGTCTCACAACTACTGAACACGCAGGTTTTCTAGAATATATATAAACTGACTTGAGAACGCATAACTTGCACAGGCAGGCAGGCCGG